TGATCAGGGAAGTGACCAGCCCCGAAGGGTGGAGAGCGAGGACTCCAGAAGGAGGGCCAGAATAATCCACAGTGACCGCAACAGAGGAGAACGCTGGGTCAACACTCACAGAATGAACTCCAACCAGGAGAAGACTCCACTCGGGCAGAAAGAAGGGAAATCCACAGAGACAGGATGGGTTGTGCCTGGCTCGGCAACAGAGTGACACGCGGAAAAGATCTCGGAAGAGTCTGAGTGGACAGCAAGTGGAACATGAGCCAAGAGTGTGATGCGCCAACAGCAGAAATAGCCAGTGGGACTCTGAGCGTGCCTTTGCTCACCTGGCGGCTGGCGTTCTGCCAAGGGATTCTGCTTTTCCGGCATGGAAGAAGAGGGTGGACTCGGTGGCCCACGTGGTCTCTTCCAACTCTACTATTCTGTGACTCTTCTATTTGGGTGAGAAGGCAAGGCCGAGAGAGGAGGGGGTTCCTCTCCCTGGATGACCCCACAAAGAGGCCGGAGAGCAACCTGCGGAGGATGCTCTCGCTGGAGATGCTGCTTGGAGCAGAACGGGGATGGACTCCATGACCCACTGGGTCACGGGTGTCATGGCTGAAGGACACGAATCTCCTCCTCCTCCTCCTCCTCCTCCTCCTCCTCCCAGTCAGGTCTGCTTGTGTGCGGATGGGCCAATCCTCATCAGACCACGCAGGATCGACCAACCAAAAAACACCCAACAGGTGGTCATGGCATCTCTGCTTAGAAACCTCCAAAGGAGACTCTTATGGACTCCCGGTGGGAGAAGACTCCACTACTGAACAGCTCTTCCCATCTATTTAGGTGAGGCCTGCACACTTTGTCAGTGTGAGTGAGGGGTGGAGGACAAGGAGAAGCAGAGTCCAAACACGCACAACTCCCCTGCTAGGCAGGCACGTGAATGCAATCCCCTCATGGCCTCCTCCAGCTTTGCAATAGGACAGACTGTCTCATAGGCAAGTAGTTCATTCCAACCCCCAAAACACCGCAGAGTCCTGGTCACAGTGTCACAGCCTCTGGCCTTATAAAGTAGCTCATCTCTTGGAATCAACACTCTTGAGTTCTGAATTTTATTTATTTATTGACAACATTTCTGCCCCGCTCTTCTCAACCCCCGAGGGGGGGGGACTCTGAGCGGCTAACACTGGCAACAATTCGATGCCGCAATATCACAATAACAACAATATAAAACCATAAACAATAACATTAATTATACAGTCATATATACTTTCATCCAAAGTCCATGGAGGTTCTAGGCTTGCTTTATCTGCTACTTGTAACTATTTACAGGTCTTCTCTTCATATACTCACAAACACAATGGGAACTTCACACAACAGGGATGGTGGTGGATTACCTACGCAGACAATTATGGCAAGGCCTCTGACCAATGGCAGATAGCAAGCCGTCCTTCCTGGAAGGTCAGACCCAGGTGGTGGTGCTGGGGGGGGGGGGACTCCTGTTCGACTCCCTGGCCGGGGGTGTCCCTCAGGGTTGAAGGTTCTCCCTCAGGCTATCTAACATTTACAGGGAACCGCTGGGAGAGATCATCCAGAGTTTTGGAGTTTGGTGTCAAATGTATGCCGACGACACCCAACTCTATCACTCCTTTCCACCCAAAGCCAAGGATGCCACCCTGCTCCTGAACCAGTGCCTGTCACCAGTGATGGACTGGGTGAGAGCTCACAAGTTGAGAGTAAGTCCAGACAAAACAGAGGTACTCCTGGTCAGTTGGGAGGCGGATCAGGGTGTGGGATGACGGCCTGTGTTGGATGGAGTCACACTCCCCTGAAGACACGGTTCGCAGTCTGGGGGTGATCCTGGACTCCTCACTGACCCTGGAACCCCAGGTATTGGGATGGCCAGGAAAGGTTTTGCACAATTAAAACTTGTGCACCTGCTACGTCCATACCTTGAGAAGCCAGATTTGGCCATGGTAGCACACATCTTAGTCACATCCCGTCTGGATTACTGCACCGCTCTCTATGTGGGTGTGCAGAAGTTATTAATACTTTGCATGTTTGAAACTATATATATGTGTGTTTGGGTTAGCTACAGTAGCACTGGAGCAGCCTATTTCAGAGATCCTCAGTCAGCGTTGCCATGGAGACCAAGGCAAGCTGGCAGAAGGAGGAGTGGGAGGAGCCAAGTGGAGAGAGTTTTGAAAACAGACAGTTTGAGAGTCAGTTAGGAGTTGATTTTGTATCTGAGAGGAGTAAAAGAGTGGAAGTGAAGAGTAGAGTGGGAGAGTGAAGTGTGAAGCAAAGAATTGTGGCTTTGGGAAGCCTGAATAGCTACTGGAGGTTTCTCAGTCTTAGGAGGCTGAAAGGAGAAACATAGCCAGTTTTCTTTAGTCAAGGGAAAGGCTAAAGGATAAGCTTGTTAATTTATTTGATCAAGGAAAGATCAAATAGGGAAGATATTCCTGTACTGAAACATTGTTTAGTAATAAGAGCTTCACCTCAGTAAGATACTGGAAGAGTGAAACGTTTAACTAACCAAGTATTATTCAAAGTTCTATAAAATAAGTTACAACTTGCAACCACACGCTTTGTACTCAATAAACCAGTTATCTTTTGTTAAAGACAGTCTCATCTCCATCCATTCTGCGTCTGTATTGCCACATCTCACAGTAATACCTCATACCTCAAGTTGGTAGCAGTTACCATAGATTATATATAACAATTGGCCTCCACTATACCAGTTGGTGGCAGAATTCAGAAAAATAAACAATAAATCTCCCTCTAATCTCCTGTCACGTGACAGCACGGGTGCTTAATCTCCACTCTGATCACCTCCTCCTCGCAGTGGGGCTGCCTTTGAAGGTAGTACAGAAGCTGCAATTGGTCCAAAGATCTGCAGCCAGGTACTGGAGCACCGGACAGGGAACAGACAACTCCTACATTAGGGCACTTCCACTGTCTGCTTCTGGGCTAAATACAAGTGCTGGTCAATACCCAGTGTACAGAAGTGATTATAATAATATGATTATAACTGTATTTGTGTTTGCATTGGTTGCCCTAAGGCTGGAGCGGCCTAGCTGTGAGGAGTGTGTTACCATGGAAACGATGCTGTAGAGAAGTGGGAGGAGCTTAGAGAGGAGAGTTTTGAAAAGCGACAGTTAAAGTTAGGCTCAGAGGAATGAAGAGTTGGGGGTTTAGGCTCAGAGGAATGAAGAGTTAGGTTTTAGGCTCAGGGAAATGAAGTGTTGAGAGAGAGAGTGGGAAGTAGAGAAGCAGTGTTTGTGAATAGTCAGAGGTTTCTTCAGTTTAGGAAGGCTGAAGGGGAAACCTTATTAGTTTCATTAGTTAGAGAAGACTAATAGAAGCTTGTTTAGATCACTAGTTAAAAGTGAACTAGAGATCTGAGGTTTGATCGGAAGGATCAAACAGGAAGACTATTCACTTCAGGAACCATTGTTTAATAAAGTGCTTCACCACAGCAAAGGTTCTTTATAAGTTGTAACATCAGAAGTCTGAACTGTATCGCAACCAAGTTATATGTAATGTTCTCCAAGTATTTGCCAAGCTTAACATCAAACTGCAACCATACGCTTTGTTTCAAAATAAACTTGTTCTCTTTGGTTTTTAAGACTGCCTCATCTCCATTAATTCTACGTTCCGTGTACCCAATCTCCCAAAATTACCTCACATCACAAATAGGGTGGCATCCGGTGGTATTAATACAAGAGCCTTTTACAAATTGATGGCTCCTCTCTCCTAAACTTGAGCACTTCCTCGCACCCAGAAAGCCTTAAATTATCATTTATTTATGTATTGACTGTACTTATACCCCGCCCTTCTCACCCCGAAGGGGAACTCAGGGCGGCTTACAAACTATGGCAACAATTCAATGCCAGATTCAGATAACAACAATATCAARAGAACACAATATTATAAAACAGTAAGAAACACAAACATATAAATTAAAATAGTCTTTCAAATGATTAAAACATATTAAAACATTTCAAACATATCAAAATTATATTGCATTGAAGCACGATTACAGGTCTTACAGTCCAGWGGCTTAAACGGCCAAAACCCTGARAAATAACAGCTCAGCARSCTCAAAACATTGTCACATACCGCCCACCCCCACCTAAAATCAGTCCAATCCACCCCACACCCAACTGCCCTGAAGGAATGCCCAATGGGCTGATGAAAGATTCCCAAAAGGCATCCAGCTGCTCCAGTCGATTTAACCCAGACCAGTCCATTTGGTCTGGGGGTGGGGAGCAAGGGGGTGACATGTTAATAAAAGTGCAAACACTGAGCTATATTAAGCCACAGCATCTCCACCAAGGYCAGCAATGACAATGGTGGTTGAACAAGCCAYTATTGTAACACAACAGCCAAGGGGGCGATGGTGGAGGAGGCCCCAAGACTGCCTGCCTGGTTTGAACASTGCAGCAGCGATGCCAGAGGGGAAGARGATGGAAAAGGTCCAATACAGAGGCAGCRCGATGCAGCCACTCACTGGAGGCTCCTCTCTCAGCTGTTCTTACCAGTCTGTGCTGCAAGGTTTTAAAGTGGCCAGCAMCWTGGTGTCGTAGAAGCTTCTCTCTTCTAAACAGTTCAGGACCAAACTATCTACAAAGCTGCATCTCCGAATACAAACCGCCCTGGGCGCTGTGGTTCACAGAGGAGGCCCTTCTCTCAGTCCCACCCTCGTCTCAAGCGCGGCTGGTGGGGACGACAGAAGAGGTCTTTTCCGTGGCCGCTCCCCACCTCTGGAACTCCCTCCTGAAAGACGTAAACATGGCCCCTTCCCCCCTCTCCTTCAGGAATCTTTTAAAAACTCGTTTATGAGCTCTAGTTTATGGGAGGGAGGAGGAGGATGAGCACTTTATTAAATCTATTCTGACTCAGATAGTGGAATTCTACCTCATAGATAGAGAGCAAGTTGGCAGCCTTCTTTTTCTGTCCATCGCCCCAATTTTTTCTCTACCTGGGGGATCCTTGGAAACATAAAGGCAGGTCTCCTCTAGCTGTATGTGAGCTCTTTGATGTCCAATGCATCTTCCTATGTGTGGGTCCTTTGATGGATGCGCATACTTGCACTCCATGCATTTATGTGGCTTCTCCCGTGTGGGTTCTTTGATGGTTACGCAGATTTGCACTGTGACTGAAGCTCTTTCCACATGCCATGCATTTATGTGGCTTCTCTCCTGTGTGGGTCCTTTGATGGATACATAGCTTTCCACTCTCACCAAAGCTCTTTCCACATTCCATGCATTTATGTGGCTTCTCCTCTGTGTGGGTTCTTTGATGGGAACGGAGATTCCCACTCTGACTGAAGCTCTTTCCACATTCCATGCATTTATGTGGCTTCTCCCCTGTATGGGTTCTTTGATGAATACGCAGAGTCCCACTGTGACTAAAGCCCTTTCCACATTCCATGCACTTATGTGGCTTATCCCCTGTGTGGATCCTTTGATGGATATGCAGAATCACACTCTTACTGAAGCTCTTTCCACATTCCATGCATGTATATGGCTTCTCCCCTGTGTGGGATCTTTGATGGATACGCAGACTGTCACTCCGACTGAAGTTCTTTCCACATTCTATGCATTTATGTGGCTTCTCTCCTGTGTGGATCCTTTGATGAACACGCAGACTTGCACTCTTACTGAAGCTTCTTCCACATTCTATGCAGTTATGCGGCTTCTCTCCTGTGTGGGATCTTTGATGGGTACGCAGACTGTCACTCCGACTGAAGTTCTTTCCACATTCCATGCATTTATGTGGCTTCTCTCCTGTGTGGGTCCTTTCATGGATACGCAGACTTGCACTATTACTGAAGCCCTTTCCACATTCCATGCATTTATGTGGTTTCTCCCCTGTGTGAGTCCTCTGATGGGTACGCAGATGTGAACTCTGACTGAAACTCTTTCCACATTCCATGCATTTATGTGGCTTCTCCCCTGTGTGGGTCCTTTGATGGGAGTACAGATTCCCACTCTGACTGAAGCTCTTTCCACATTCTATGCATTTATACGGCTTCTCTCCTGTGTGAGTTCGTTGATGTTTAGTAAGAGAACTTATCTTAATAAAACATTTCCCACATTCCATACAGTTATGTCGCTTCTCCCCTGTATGTGATTTTGACAAGGAATTGAGATTTTCCATTCTTTTACATTTATGATTCAAATATTATGCCAGAAGGTCACAGATATATTCTTCTGATTTCCGCTTCTCAGTCCTTGTATTGCTCTAGTCCATTTGAATAAACAAATTACCAAGCCCCACTGTTTACAGCACAATCCTCCCTTTCCTCCTTGAATACACAGCTATGGAGCTCGAAATATATTTTCTCCAACTTATTTCTTGTGAGTGCTGCGTAATTTCATTCCTGACCTAAGCCAAAGGGAAGTGTTCTTCTCAAGGTTCATTCAGAGGTTACCTGCCAGAGAAATGAGAGGAAGATCGTATCAGGAGCAGAGCACAGAAATATCTCATGGAACAATAAGAATAATAGCTTGGTGCTGTAGCCAATGCCGGAGAAGAAGGGAGAAAGAGCGGTCCTATTGAGAAGAGCCTTTGCCTGCTGAGAAGTACTTTAACACTTGCCCAACAAAGAGCAAGCCCTGCAAAGGGGAGAGTGGCCCACGATTCCCTGTATGAGATTGTTAGCAGTGCAGTGTGTTCAGAGTGTCACCCAATCTTTGCAAAGGAAGAGCTCTAACAATATGGTCCTGCCTAGATCCCGCTTCCTCACATCCCAACTCAGAACTTGAGTGACCACCTTTATTTATTTATTCAGAACTTTTATACACCCGTCTTCTCACCTCCAGCATGGGACTCAGGCCGGTTTACAACAAAGAAATTCATACACAATAGTTTAAAACATCACATCCAATAATACACTAATATAAGCACATTAAAGAACTATCATATAATTACATAAGGCAAAATCGGTAGCATAAAATCACTATTCATCCCCATCCGTCCGTGTGGTCAAGGGTTGTTGCCTCACTCATCAAATTCCAGATTCCAGAGCCAGGTTTTCACCAACTTTCTAAAGGTCAGGAGGGAAGGGGCAGTTCTAATGTCAAGACCCAGACGGACCAGCAAGCAAAACGGCAGTGAAGGAGTTAAACAAAGGTCTTTAATGTCTATTAGCACAACAAAAGGAGGCTCTTAAAGTCAGAGCTATAAACACAAAAGGCTTGCGGTCAGCAAGAATGTAAACAAACCAAGTCCCAGTCAGTCCTCGCTGGCAAAAGGAAAGCAAGTCCAAACGCAGGCAAAACAGCTTCAATTCAGCAGTAAAAACTCAGTTCATTTCAAAGCCAAACAAAACAGCAAACAGCAATCCGCATGAAGAGCGGTCCAACGAAGTCACCAGGGGATTAGCAGAGGCGTAGTCAGGCAGTCCGAGGGTCAAGGCAAGGAAGACTCACAAGTCCAGGTCCGGCAAGATTGTTCACATGATCAGGAGTCCACGAAGCTGCAAACAAGAGCTCAGGGCAGAAGTTAAACACAAGGCACACGGTAACGCGACACTTTGAACTCTGCGATTAGTTTGTTCCCAAACTGCTCCTTAAATCTCATCCGAGTCGCTGGAGTTACTTTCAGGTGCGTCTGCCTCCACAGGTGAATCCCGACTTCGCCATTGCTGCCAGTCTGTGCTTCGGGCTGCATCCTGCAAAGTATTATCTGGAACCCAAGTGTCATTAAAACCCTGGAATTCATCGCTAGACGTGGGAGCATTAACCACATCTAATACTTCCTGAACTTTAGTCCAATCCAGCTCTTCCTCTTCGCTGTCAAACTCCTCACAATCAGCTACATCTCTAAGGCGTTTAACAACAGATTCCTCATCACTATCCGAGCTGCGTGCTACTCGCTTTACACCGCGGTAATCCTCCACCTCCATTTCCTCGCGAGTAAACCCCTCAAAATCCTCCTCATCCGTAGGCTCTAGGAACAAGTCTCTAATACGCTTCAGCTGTTGCTGAGCGTCTTCCTCTTCCAAACCACGTTTCCTTCTACTACTAGTAGTAGGTACAGGAGACAGACGCTGACTCACAACATCTAATCTCCAATGGGAGAGAGTTCCAGAGCCGAGGGGCCACCACCGCGAAGGCCCTGTCCCTCGTCCCCACCAGATGCGATTGCAAGGGTGGTGGGACCGAGAGGAGGGCCCCTCCAGAAGATCTTAACAACCTTGATGGTTCATAGGGGAGAATCCGTTCGGACAGGTAAACTGGGCCGGAGTCGTTTAGGGATTTATAGGTCAACACCAGCACTTTGAACAAAGAGCACTAAAAAAATCCACAGGTAACATCCATCAAATATATTCAAACACCACAACACCCCCTGACTTGATCTTCAAAACCTCCCTCTTCAAAAGCCTGTCCGAATGAAAACGTTTTAGCCAGAAGGACAACAGGGAGGGAGGGGGCCGTTCTGGCTTCCCAGGACAGAGAATTCGAGCTGCGTGTCCCAGGCAACGTCCACACGCCCTGTCTCTCAGGATCTGATCCCGGGTTATTTGGCTGCGCAGACTCACAGAATCCAGTTCAAGGCAGAGGATGTGGGGCCAGATCCTGGGAGAGAGGGAAGTGCGGATCCAGGCCGAGTCTTCAGAATTCCCAACTGGGCAAAGCCAGTCCCGTGAGCCTCGGTTCCAGTGACATGGCTTGCAATGTTTCCCTTGAAGAGCGTGGAAGGCCAGCCTCTCCGTCTCTCCTATCTGTGGGCACACCAGGCGGGTCTCACTCTTCGCCCTGGCCCCCTAATTGGGGGAAGGGGCTCCCTCTCCCCTCCTCCTCAACCAGGCTCCTTCCTTGGGACCACCTCCTCCCTCCCTGCCCCTCCTTGAAGGGTCTGCAGCTGGGCTGGGCTGGGCTGGGCTGGGCAGGAAGGAAGGAAGGAAGGAAGGAAGGAAGGAAGGAAGGAAGGAAGGAAGGAAGGAAGGAAGGAAGGGGAGCCTCATTGCAATGAATGAAGGGCTGCCGAGTGCCTGCCTGAGGGAGGGAGGGAGGGAGGAGGCCCCTTTGGCACTGCCCTCTCGCCCCAATGATCAAGGGGGAGGAGGGAGGCCATCGCGTTCACTGCACCCACTACGGGCCTCTCTTTGGCCCTGGAAGCCCCTTTGCGGGAGTTTCCTTGAGGGTCCCCTGCCAGTGGAGCTGAGACCGAGCCCCACTCAAAGCGTCAAGCAGGGGCTTCCGCAACAGCCGCCTGGAGTCACCTTCGGACATAAGAAAAGCGGGGTAGAAATATCGTAAATGATAAACAAACACTTGCATTGTTTTATGGTAAATAGTATACAGCTAGATAAATGGCCACCAGACTGGTAATAGCTCAATGGACTGTGAGTATACTGTTTTAATCTTTATGTCTTAATGTTTAGGCTTGTAACTGTTATAATTGCTGTTTTGTATTTTATTATGCGGCATCGAATTGTTGCCAATTGGAAGCCGCCCTGAGGCCCCCCCCCCCCCAGGGGTTGAGAAGGGCGGGGTAAAAGTGTTCTAAATAAATAAATAAATAACCAGGGCAACGAGGAGACTAAAGTCGTGGTGGTGCGTGGAGCTGAGGTTTGACATTGAAAATGTTTTTACTGGAGGCACTTTTTCACAAAAAGGAGGAACTCATTATTACTCCAACCAGGATCTTTTCTTCCAATATCTTCAGCCGCCTTCTTCTGAGGTAAATCTTCTTCTCAATAAATGGACATGAGTCTTGATTATAAAGAACTGATCAATGAGATATTTATTTAAGGATTCACTGACAATTCAGGGCACTGGCTTGCCTTTTTCTCCCTTCCGCTTTCCCCTGAGCTCACGAGCTAATTCCTAATTTAAAGAGGCCCAATTGACTCTGTAAACACACAGGCTGAAGACTTAAACCCCCGGGTTCAGGGTCTCCACACACCAGAACCCAACTTCCACTCTTGTCCGCTGACTAAAAGAAACGCACTCTTTCCAAACGCCTGCCCCGGCCGAGTGGCAGTTAGCTCCGCCCCTTTGGCTTCTCTAACTTGGATACATTCCCACAGCCGGTTCCGTCGCTATGGCAACGCCTCAGCTCAGGCAACACATCAGCTTGCCTGCACTTATATCGTAACATTAATCAACATTTTTAAAACGTACATTATAATTAGCTATTTTGTTACAACCACTAACCAATGGCAGATAGCAAGCCGCATGGCAGAGAAGGACGGGCACATACAAGCTGCTCCCATCCCTCTCTCCAGAGTCCCTGTAACGCCATCTTCTCTGTTGTCTTAACCCTTGAGGTTGTTGTGCTGTGAGCACGTGTCTATTAAGAACTGTCTCATTACACACTGGAGGTAAGTGTCATGCATCCCTATCCATCTTTTTCTACACGACAGTCAGGAGGTCACATGAACCCCAAAAACCATTCCGTGGCCGACCCCTCCCCCCCTGCCGAGGGAGAAGCCCTTCCTTCTCTTCTCAACCTGTGGGTCTCTCCCCAGATGCGTTTTGGCCTTCACCTCCCAGAAATCCTCACAACTGGTCAACTGGCTGGGATTTCTGGGAAGTTGTAGGCCACAACACCTGGGGAGAGACCCACAGGGTGAGACCCACTGCTCTAAGCTAAACACACCCAGCTCTTTTGAGACATTCCCTACAGTCCGTCTCTGGAGATATTCTGGCTTATCAATATCCGTCTTGAGTTGTGCTGCCCAGAACGGGAGACAGAGCGATTGCAGGTGAGGTCTGAGCAAAGCAGGAGAACGGAGGCTGTGACTTCCTTGGACGTAGACACCACGTCTCCTCTTGGCACAGCCTAGAACCACGCTGGCATTTGTGGCTGCCACATCACACTCTGGTTTTTCAAAATAATTTTTATTCAAAGGCAAGAAAGAAAATCATGTTTATGCAAATTACAATTTGGGAACTTTTGAAAAGGAATCCTTAACAAACATGAAAGACTGAACAACACACAACGACATAATAAGAAGAAAACTAAGAGAACAACGGATCAACACAACTCTTGCCGCATGCCAATTTTAATCTGTATTCACTCACTTTAAATGCTGTTCTATATTTACTCTTCCGTTTCTAAATATAGTAAACTCATTCCTAAAACCCACAATAAACAAATGTCCCCTCATTGTTATAACTCGTGAATTATTAGTGGTCCCAATCTCGTTTCATAGAATCCTTGAGTTGGGAGAGACCTCGTGGGCCATCATCCGGTCCAACCCCATTCTGCCAAGAAGCAGGAAAATCATTCAAAGCACCCCCGACAGATGGCCATCCAGCTTCTGTTTAAAAGCTTCCAAAGAAGGAGCCTCCACCACACTCCCTCCGGGGCAGAGAGTTCCACTGCTGAACAGCTCTCACAGTCAGGAAGTTCTTCCTCATGTTCAGGTGGAATCTCCTCTCTTGTATTTTGAAGCCATTGTTCCACGTCCTAGTCTCC